CCACTTTTTCTTAGTTACCTTCATCAGTTATTAAACCTCTCTGACTCAATTTCCTTCCTCATCTATAAAACGGAGATAATAACATGTAGTGTGTGGCACACACAATAAGTGCTACTTAATTTTTTTTTAAAGATTTATTTATTATATACACAGTGTTCTTTCTGCATGCATCCCTACAGGCCCAAAGTGGACACCAGATCTTGTTACAGCTGGTTGTGAACTACCATGTGGTTGCTGGGAATTGAACTCAGAATCTTTGGAAGAGGAGCCAGTGTTCTTAACCTCTGAGCCATCTTCTCCAGCCCCCAAGTGCTACTTAATCTTTTTGCAACAATTAGTTTATCATAGTTACATCTGTATGCCACAGGACTGTCCTGAAACCTGTAGGTTAGAAGACAGCCAGGATGAAGCAAGTATAAATCACCCTGTCCAATATCCAGAACTAGTAATTTCCAAAACAGAGCAGGGAGGGATGATTCCAGAGTAGCCAACTGACATCTTGACATCTGTTTTAAGGCACAATGTCATGTAACTTAGCTGTTCAGGTTTCGACTAGAAAGATACTCTTACACTATAGTAAGAATGGTAAGTTTAGGACAGATAGTATCATTTATTTGAATTACTCAGAAGACTTTCAAAAGACAAGCTAAATAGAGTGAGATAATAATATACTTGGAACAAGGATGTTAAGAATGATTGATGAAACAGGACTTAGAGGCAAGACTCATGAAAAACATGCTTTTCATGTATTTGAAGAAATGTTACGTGGAGATGGCTCAAATAGATAAAGTAAAACAAATGGGCTTTAAAATCAATAAAAACCTACATAGAATTAATTTAGCCACATATAAAGACAAACGTAGCCTAGAGCCAGTTAGTTCTCCATGAAGACAGATGGCTTCAGAAACACCCAAGTTCCTGTTTCCTAAGAATGAACTATTTGTGAATTTGTGATATTGTACAGAATCAAGATGCTGTATAAAAACCTTCAAACTCAGGATTGTAAAAAAGGCAACGCTGGAGATAGCATTGTTAATGCATGTTTTATTTGGGGTTCATGAAGGAAATCCCACTTACCCATATCAGAGTCACCTCCACCAGAGGAGTTCAACTTACGAAAAATTTCCTGCTTCTTTGATTTAACCATGGGCGATGTGCTTTCGAGCTTGGTGAAGAAGGAAGGCAAGTAGCTTATACTTCCTGGAGATCGAGAATCAGTCCTGTCAGGAATACAGACTGTTAGAATAGTGCACTCCTACTGCCTCCCCCTTCTGTGTTTGCTACCACCCCAGGAAACAGTATGTGACCATAAACTCATTCAGACATAGTCAAAGGCTTTTTGGCTCTAAAAGATGAAACAGCAAAATAAGGACTAGAATGAAGATGACCTACAGTTTAGTTTATGTGTTTATTTATTTATTTATTGAGGCAGGGTCTCACTATGTAGCTCTGACAGTCCTGGAACTATGTAACCAAGCTGGTCTTGAACTTACAGAGATCTGCCTGCCTCTGCTTTTGCCTCCCCAGTGCTAGGATTAAAGGTGTGTGCCACTATGCCTGGCTAATCTACAGCACAAATTCTTAAGGATTACTTGCTTAACAGCACAAACTATGGTTATATGAACTAGTAACTAACTTACTCGCGACATTCTCTTCAACTACACTAGTTGTGACTAATAACACACCTACCTGTAAAATAGCAAAGGTTCATATCTAGCCAATCATTTGAACTTCAGCAAAATAGCTGCATAAAACTGCCTTAACTATTATAATCATTTTAAGACCGACAGGAGAGGAACTGGGCTTTAATACAATGGATCTCAAAATTCAATGGTAGTCTCCCATACTCATAAAGTTTAACAAGTTTCCTCTAACAGATTGTAACAGAACATATTGATGACAACACTATCTAGTCATATGTATTCATTCACCATTTAAACACAAAAACACTATCTGTGAAGAAAAAAAGACATGATCCCTTGGGGGCTGGAGAGATGGCTCAGTGGTTAAGAGCACTGACTGTTCTTCCAGAGGTCCTGAGTTCAATTCCCAGCAACCACATGGTGGCTCACAACCACCTTGAGTGAGATCTGGCACCCTCTGCTGGCATGCAGGCAGAAGACTGTATACAAAATAAATAAATAAAATCTTAAAAAAAAAAAAAAAGACATGATCCCTGTGCATAAAAATTTAATTTGAAAGATTGCCCCTCAAAATTCTCATTGTTCATCTATAATAGACTGATTATTAATTCATCATAATAAAGTCTGATGAGGTTTTTGTATTTTGGGAGCAAGTTTTTTTTATTAGAAAGTTTTTTTAAAAAAAGATATATTTTAAGAATTTATTTATTTGTATATGTATGTGTGCACATGAGTGCAGGTACCTGTAGAGACCAGAAGAGATCATCAAATCCCCTGAAGCTGGAGTTACAAGCAGGTACAAGCTGCTTAAAGTGGATGCTGGGAACTGCATTTGGGTCCTCTGGAAGCTTAATCACTAAAGGTATCTCTCTAACCCAACTCCAGCCCTGCTCTTTTAAGACAAGGTCTCACTGTGTAACCCTTACTTGACTGGAATTCACTATGTAGAGCAGGATCACAAAGATCTGCCTGCCACTGCCTCCCAGACTGTCCTCAAACAGATTATGTAGCTGAGGATGACCTTGAACTTCTGATCCTCCTGCCTCCAGTTGGGGAATGCAGATATATATCAGGTTTATGCAGTACTGGTGTTTGAACCCAGGGCCTCATGAGTACTAAGTAAGCACTTTACCAATTGAGCTATGTCCAAAACCCCCATGAAGACTTTAAAAGCTGCATGTTTGGAACAGCTAATACTGTACAGTTACATGTTTCAAAAAGCAGAGGTATGGCTGGGTGTGGTGGCACACACATCTGACCCCAGCACGCAGAAGGCAGTGGGGTCTCTGTCAGTTCCAGCCCAGTCTGGTCTATAGTGCTATAGTGAGTTCCAGAACAGCCAGTGTTAAGAGACCCTGCCTCAAAAAAAAAAAAAAAAAAAAAAAAAAAAAAAAAAAAAAACAAAAAAGAAGTATGTGACAATATATAGGAAAATATGTCAAAGAAAGAAACAATGTCATATATTTTTTCTTCCTACCTAGCCAGTGTTCCCCTCCCCTCCTAGCAACAAGTTCCTAATCAATCTTCAGAATTCTGAAGTGGCAGCTGTGCCCTTCTCTTACTCTCTTATGTTTTGTGTCTATGTGTGTGTGTGTCTCGCACCACATGCATGCCTACTGCTGCTGGAGGCAAACAGTGAGCCTTAGGTTCCTTGGAACTGGGAAAAAAAAATTCAATTTGGGAAAGCATATGAATGTATAAAGATTTTCTCCCTCATTTCACTGAAGTAACATGTATTATGTTGCCTACAAATATGTACAATTAACTCCTAGAAATTCTTCAGCAGCCTAAAATTAGATAGATCTGTTTTAAAACTGGACTCTCTTCTCCCTAATATGCCTTGGCCACCATCAAATCATGTATTTTGCTCTTGGGATTAAAGGGTATCAATGCCAAGAAAACAGTGCAACTCTCAAGAAAAGAACTCAGACAACAGAGAATACAGGGTGAAACAGCAGGAAATGAAGCTTTGTTTTGTTTTTTGAGACAGGTTTCTCTATGGCTTTGGAGGCTGCCCTGAGACTAGCTCTTGTAGACCAGGCTGGTCTCTTTTGAACTCAGAGAACCGCCTGCCTCTGCCTCCCAAGTGCTGGGATTAAAGAAGTGTGTCACCACCCGGTGGAAATAAAGCTTTGTAAGCCCGACCTTGGAAGGAAAATGCCATGCTAGTGACTAAGTGCTTTACTCAATGTGTCATAGTGTACTTACTCCGGTGAGGTACAGAGCAATAAGATAGGGCAAATGAAGGGCAGTTAGTTACTCAGATCAAAGCAATGGTTAGAATATAGTGAGAAAAAATCTACAAGGTACAATCTGTGTGCAGTCCACAACACTTGATATAGCTAAGTCCTCAACTACCACCTGTTGCCCAAAGGGTCTAGGAAGATTAACTGTGGCAGTAATGATGAAGTTTCTCTCACTTGTTTAATGTGATGCTTTGGCTACCATCCAGTAGTATTACCTCACGGGGAAAATACTCTTAGATATTCTTCCCAGAGTCCTATGCTGATATAAAAACCACAAAGAGGAACAAGGCAGTGACTTCAGGAAAGCCTTAGGCACAGGCTGCCCCTAACAGGAGCCGGGGAGAAGTTCAGTTTACCCACCTCTGCTCCACAGGCTCCACTCCCCTTTGTGACAAGAGCAATAAGCTGTCCTGCTTCTCATGCACAGCAGGAACTGGGGGTGGGGAGATGGGCTCATAGGGCTCTGATGGGATGTGACTTCTCTCTGGAGATTTTCCAGGCCTGCAGGGGTAGAAAATGCAGTATTTTATCTTATACTCAGGGTCACCTCTAATTCAAATTCTGCATTTACTACATATAATTTTACCGATGTATTTGGTATTTCTTTCCCCAGTCAATCCTACCCTGTTCTTAAAACCATGACAGTTGTTGAGTTCTTTGAGGTTTGTCTATGAACCTTTAATCCCACATCCATCAACACATAGGAGAAAAAAGACTGGTTTGTCCTTTATGGCTTAAACCTTTAATTTACACACACTTCAGCCATTTTTTTGTATCTTCTAAATGTAAAAGCAAGCACACATATTTTCCTACCCCTTCTCCCCAATTATCATCCATTTCCATATGTCTCATGTCTCCTGTTCTAAAACTACAGGACTCCCTGGGTGTGGATCAGTGGTAGGCCACTTGGTAGCCTTCCTAGAACTGTGGCAGCAAGGCTTGTGCAAACATTTTAAATGATAAAATCAGGTAACTTTACTAAGAGAAATGAAACTAAACTTCACAGATGTACGCTGTAAGTGAGGAAGCCAACTGGAATCCCTCTTCAAATCTCTCTCTCTCTCTCTCTCTCTCTCTCTCTCTCTCTCTTGTGAGAACTCCTGGGTTCTACATGTCTTGGTGCTTCAGCCTCTGAAGGACTACAGATTACAGTCAGCCTTTTGTTCTTAATAACTCCACTTTTCTTTTTTTAAAAGAGTAAAATATATGCTGGGTGTACTGGCACACCTTTAATCCCAACACTCAGGAGGCAGAGGCAGGCAAGGTCTCTTCTAGTTAGAGGCCAGGTTGGTCTACACAGCCAGTTCTAGGATAGTGAGGGCTATATAGAAATACCCTGTCTCTGAAGACAACCTCCCAAAAAGAGTGAGAACAAGCATGCTTTCATGTTATCTTTAAGCCTTTAAAAATGATCATGTGTAACATTTGCTTCAAAATAACTCAGTATGGCATGGGGGTGAGAGTTGGAGATAGGGGTGAGAATAAAATCTAAACAGCTGGCCATCATTCACTGCATTAAGGGTACATGGAAAGTATATTGGAAGGTTTTCTACATTTTTGCTTGAGTCAGGGTCACCACATAGCCCTGGCTGTCCTCAAAATCCTACGGCCTTGATCTCCAGGTGCTAGGATTAAATGCATGAGTCACCACAGCCCAGCCAATTTCTTTCTTATTTGAGGAGAGGGTCAGTAATCTCCCTGCCTCTGTCTTGAGTACCATCCCCTGGCTCTAGCCAGCTTCTTCAGTACATTATTCTTACATCTTTCCACCCGGATCGTTTTGAGAGAGTCATGTCTCCTACACATTTCTTTTTATACCCAAGCATTAAGTTTCCATGAGTCTGGTTTATCCAGGGTATTTGCTAGAATCTTCATTTTATTGAGACTCATTCTTGTTCTCAGTAGTCTCAAGAATTAATTTCCTTTGGGCTATGCAAGTATAATTCAACATCAACGGATGTTTAGTGTACTACTCTGAACTAAAACCCTTGCTTCCTTTAAAAAAAAAAAATTTAGACAGAACTTTGGTAACAAGCACCACTAGAGCCTTGCCATCGTGAGGCAAGTGCACTCCTGCTGAACTATACTCACAGCCTGGGTGGGGGTGTCTGTGTGTGTGTTATTATTCCTGAATTTTTTGATAAGGTCCCATTATGTAGCCTAAACTAGCCCCAAGCTTCATATCTTCTTGCCCCTGCTTCCCGAGTAGCTGGAAATAAAGGAATGCACTGTCTAGTCAGGGAAAGAATTTTGAAAGAATACTTAAGCCCTTGCAAATACTACCTACCCAACTACATATGAATATACATTAACATGCATACATAGTGCATAGTGCCGAGACAGTGGACATCCTGAAAATAATGTATAAAGAAAATACACCCTCTTTGCACTTTCCAGAAAGAAAAGGGTAGATGACATTTGATTCGAGAAAAAAATTTCCCACATTTTAGACCTATTAAAATGCTCTTATTGCTGCAAAATTCACACGTTTGGTAAAAACAAAGCAAAACTATACCTTCCCCGGGATTTATCCACAAGATGTTCTGGAGAGACTCTAGAACCTGGTCTTGGATGCAGGACAGTCTGAGACTGGGACTCTGGGCTGTAGCGACTTGATGTTTTAGTTCTTACAGGTGTAGATGCTAAAGCAGATGGTGAAGTTTGGAATGTTGAAGTAGGAGGCTGCGAGGAAACTTGATTTCTAGCAAAATCTTGTGTGATAATTTGCTGTGAATGAGAAGACGATTAAGTGGTAAAGGCTGTTAGATACCTACCCAAGAGGGTGGTAAGAAGATGAACTTTTTGTTTTGTCTTTGGAGAGATTTTCATTCTAGCACAAAGGGCCTGGAACTCAGCAGTCATTATCATCATCATCATCATCATCATCATCATCATCATCATCATCATCATAAAAGTAGGAAAAGGCTTACACAGATGTGATCAGCAAGTGTGATCAGTCGATGGGTCCTGGGCACCTGCCCCATTCCTTCTGCCTGTGAGGATGGGGGCGGTGGTGGCTGCTGCTGTGGAGATGGTGACTCCTGCTGGGACCGATAGTGATGCAATGGTCCTTCATACTGCCGAGTGGGCTCATCTAATAGACAGTAGGTAGATACATTATCCCAGTGATGCCTGTCCCTGACTCAGTATCAAATATTAATAACTCAGAAAAACATAATAGGATGTGATATGCATCTCTGCATCTTTTTTGTTTTTATATCTTGAAGCCAAAATATACATATATATATATCTTCACTGATAGAAGTATGAAAACTAGGAGAATAAAATGATCATAGAAATGGGCAAAGCTATCAGCCATTTGTGTGTGTGTGTGTGTGTGTGTGTGTGAGAGAGAGAGAGAGACAGAGAGACAGAGACAGAGGTACAGAGAGAGACAGAGTGCATGTGCATGTATGTGTGAATATGCAGGCTAGAGGCTGATGTCAAGTGTCTTTCCTCTATCACTCTTGACTTTTAATTTTTGAGACAAGGTCTCTCAGTGAAGCTGTAGCTCCTGGATTCAGCAAGACTGCCTAGCCAGTGAGCTTTAGCAAGCATTCACCACTCATGCTCCTACACCACCTCCTCCAAGCTAGGGTTACAGGACTCAATGCTATGCCCAGTTTGCTCATGTGGGTTCTAGGTATCCAAAGTCAGGTCCTCGTGCTTGTGTACTGTTACTTTGCCTACACACACCTCCCAGCCCCAGTGCTTCTATTTTCACTAAACTATAAACAAGTGTAACAAAAATAATAACATAAAAGGTGCAATTGTTAGTACAGCTCTAAATGTCTCTAAAGCAGACTGGCCAGCACTACGTTCTTCCCATGGCCTAGACAGGTAATTAGAAGCAAAGGTTAATGCAAATTATGACACGGAAATGGCAAAAACAGACATACTTTCTGCTTGATTTGCCTTAGCCATCTCTGACTGATAGGCCTGTGGTTTGTCCTGGGGTGGTCCTGGGGAGCTGGCAGGACTTATCACCTCAATAGCATCACTAGGTGCTTCATACCTGTGAGAAGACACTTTAAGAAAAGAACCTCATTTTAAAATAAACCCATGCAAAGTTTTAGAAGTCCAAGTTCTTCAAAGCTATTTGCATATTTTAGTTATTTGAGTCTTCTAAAGAAATGTCAGTAGCATTCCACACTAGGAATAAAACTAAAACTTAAACTCAAAAGACCATGAAAGGTACCTTTGTGCTCCTAATCTCAGTAGTTTGTAGGTTTTTAAGCATGAGATGAAGCAGAATTCAGATTTGTGATAAGCCCCTGGGACCTTAAAAAGAAACCACAGGCTAAAACTCATCCAAGGAGATTATGAGTAAGTGAGGGGTGGGTCTCAACCGCTAACCAATTCCAGGAATTCCATTTTTGTGGACCAATCTGATCTTAACACAACAGGTCATAAATCTGCTTCTTTGGCCCAAGACTCAGTTATTGCTTACAAAACATTGTAATGATTTTCTCAGATAACTCAAGTATTACATCGTGAAAGTGAACAGGAGTGGTAGGAAGTATGTGAAGGAAATTACTTCAAAGAGAGGGAGGATATCAACCAATTCTGGAGGATGCCCACACACACCCCTTTAAGATACATACAGCTCTCAAGAAAATTGATGGGCTCTGCAGATGAACGCCATGGGCAACTTTCTACAAACTGCCCATGCTTTAGAGCTGAGATTTGGGGAGAGTAAGGAAGAACTTACTAAGAAACTTCTGTTAGAGGCCATCTCCAGGCTGTGCCAGAGCCTGAGTCAGGGTCCCGACCTTGGCTGAACACAGGCATATAGAAGGTGAACTGCTTGGCCACTGCATATTGCTCTTACTGTTCAAATGAACATGTCTACCTACCTCCCACCTGTTATGGAAATCAATGCTTAGGAACTAAAATAAACCACTATATTGTATAAAATAAACCACTATATTGTAAGTAATTTTCTTACTTAAAAGCTTTGTATTTATTGTTGACTCAACAGTGCTTATGTAACATCTTAAGTGACAAGACTTATAGTATCAGTCTAATTGCAAACTATATTCATGTTGCTCTTGAAGATTAGGGTGTAAGATGAAAGGCGAGGGAGGCTCTCAAGTTACACTGAAACTGACACTAAATAGTTGGTACTAGCCCTTGTGTTGTATTATGCAGGATGTTGCAGTGATGGAAGGGATAACTATACCCAAAAGTAGGACTTGAGACTCTGAGAACTTAGGCTTTCTGTGTTCAGACTGATAAAGAACAAACTTCCAAAGCAACCTACTTCATCTATGACTCCCTCCTAGATGCCTGCACTCTCTTCTCCCTGAGCTAGCAGTTTTCCCACATTGAAAACCTACGTTGTAAACTTTAATTCCAGATTAGAAGAAGTATCTCTTCCACAGTTCATTACCAAGCTGCCCACATCTCTCTGAAAAATTTGCCAACATAAGTGGATACTTGGAGGTAAGAACTGCACTCTATTAGCAGTACTATTGAATTTCCTAAATGGAGATAGTAAAAAGTGACTACACGATTAAACTGCTTCCAGTATCACAACTGCTATTTAAGCATGCTTGTTTTTCTCTAAAATTACATATAGAGAGAATTTAGATAACAGCTAAGAAAAAAAATTAAATTGTATTTGTTCATATATATATATATCTATTTCTATGTATAGAAAGCCATTATTGCTGTCAACTAGGTGCCAGGGTCAGTTCTCTCCTCCCATTATGGGGTTCAGATCATCATTAGTGCTAAGTGGCTTTGCCTGCTGAGGCATCTCATCACACCTAGGAAATTTTAAAAAGCATTTTTGTGTAGTATTTGAGCCTTACTTGCAGGGCAAATATCATAGTAACTAGCCAGACAGAATCAAAATCCAATTCTCAAAAAAGACACAAAATGAATACCAGTCATTACTAGACTCTCTTGAAAACAAACAAACAAACAAACAAACAAACAAAAACAAAAAAAAACACCTACTATCATAGAGGCTTTAAGAGATCAGTGAACCTAGCAAACAATTTCTCAGAGAATACATGTGGTAGTACAGATCTTGAAGATATTCCCATTGCTTTTCAGATGCCTAAATACCTCAGAAGCTCTATTCTCCATCTAGCCATTTCTAACTGTAATTCTATGGGGGTTTTCCTAGATAATACATTCATGGGGATGTGTAAGTCATAAGAACACTAGAAGATACATCTTTGCACCCACAATACTTCCTCTCATATTACTGTCAAGCATTAGGATTGTGTCATACCAGGCGGTGCTTTACCTAAAGAATAAAGTAATTCTTTACTCAGATATCACATTGTGAAACTCAGATTGAGATACATACAGCTACTAGAAGAGTCTGAACTTTGAGAGCCACGTTCCCTCGCATCCTTGTCCGAGGCAATTTGCCGGGTGATGATCACGTCTATGAAGTTAGCTGCAGTAATGGTAGTCTTCCCTCGGGTCCTTAGCTCTTCCTCATATCTGGATTTTGGAGGAGGCCCTTTATCTTTCCCAGCCTCAGAATACACTACTGAGGCATGAGGCTGGGGCTTGCCACTCGGAAGGGCTGAAGAAGTGCACACACACTGAACAGATCTCTTCTCCACCTCCAGGGTTTTCTGCTCTAGCTGCTGCTGTTCACTAACTGCTGCTGACCTGCTTCTCAAATTTTCTTCTAACCTGGCAGCTTCATGCTTACTCTCTTTTGTTTTGGAAACATCCATCTGGGGTGCAGAAGCTGCAGCATCCACAAGAACAGCCAGGGCATCCGCAGCAGTGTTGTAACGGGAGGCTGGCAGGCCTTGGCTTATTGAAGGGCCCCCAGCAGGCAGTGGCCTGTAAACAAAATAAAATAAAGGTGCTTAAGGCAAGGGTTAAGGGTAGGGTGGGGACTGCTGGGGAAACAAAGGAACAAATTACATTTTAAAAAAGCAAATAGAAAGTCTTGACTATTTTAGTCAGTGGTTTAAAAAATCAATATGGCTCAGCAGGTAAAGGCACTTGCTGCCAAGGGTCACAACTTGAATTTAATCTTCAGAACTATATGGTAGAGAACAGACTCCCACAAGCTGTCCTCTGACTTACACACACACACTTATCAAAAATGTAAGCTAAAAAACAAAACAAAACAAAACAAAAAACACATCCAAGATATGTACTTATTTTAGTCAAAATGCTTGTAAGAGTACAAAAGACTGACATGATTCGTAGCTGAGCAGATGGGTCCAAAGGTGTGATTACACTGGTTCCATTGGTTCCCTGGAAAACACTGGGTCTCTGTTGCAACATGGTCTCCTGAGTTCTTATTGAAGGGGAAGGGGAAGGGGAGCGAACATATCCGTGGCTGCCAGGTCGACCTGGCTGTTCTGATCCTGAAAAGGTAAAAGAAACAGGAACAGTGATAATTCAAAAGCAGCAGCTACAGAAATAAAGGCAGCAAAATTTATGAAATTTTTTAATTTCTAGTATTACTAAATAGAAAATGAGAATAAGAAACTTGATACCATACTTTCTAGAAATGGATTCTAAGTTTCTCAATAAAGATACGGTAAAAACCCAACAAAAATTAAACAAAATTTCAATTGTCATTTACTGTCATTTTCATTTTTGTTAGGCATTGCTATCTCCATTCCAGAAAGGAAAGAGAAGACCCAACATCGAAGTACTATACATCTTAGCTTCTCATGCTACAGATTGTGCTAAGTTTAGTATCATCTCCCAAATCAAACAACTTTCCATGCATCACAATGAAAGTAAATACAGCAGGTGCATTGCAGCTTGGGGTTCCTGCACACTCAACCACAGTTCCTCCTATTTTGCCTTTTTGTGTCTACATACACATGTGCATACATGTGCATGGCCAGAGACCAATCCCTGTCATTCCTCAGGTATTTCCACCTTGTTTTTTGAAACAGTCTCTCACTGGCCTAAAGTCTAGAGATTGGGAAGGCAAGTTGACTAGTGAGCAACAGGGATCAAACTGGCGAAGACTTAACAGCTTTGCTTTTACAAGCACATGGCACCAGACCCAGTGTTTTTACATGGTTTGGCAACCAAACTCAGGTTGCTAAACTTATGTGGCAAGCACTTTACAAACTGGACTATCTTACCTCCCTTGCCCCTTGCTCTTACTTCTCCTTACCAATTACATTTGTTTCAGAAAGCTCTGTCTTCCACAGCTACCCTTCTTTGAGGTTTGAGAGTTTTACTCACTTAGCTTTAACTCTCTCATAGCAGAGCTGGGAGAATCTTAAACTCTTAAGTCCCTGATCAATTTCTTTTCTATTTTCCTTGTACTCTGTCTTCTCTCCAACCTTCTACCTCATTCTTTGCCTGTGTAAGAGCTAGACATTTTAGCACAGACTTACTCCCGTAGCCAGGACCACTTCAGCCATACTTTGTGACAATTTCCTTCCTTCTGAATATATTTTGGCATATAACAGTATTTCTATAAGACCGATGCCTAGAAGTGGAACTGCTAATCAATTAGTCTGCAATGTTTTTTATGCATAAGAGTTACATTGCATCTGTCATATATATTAGTGTCTGTTGTCAAGCTGCTACATGGAAAAGATCAATTGAGTTATCTAATGAGAATAGTGAAATTTGATATTTTTACCTATCACTTTGCAAATCAGTGGGATCAACATGTGTTACCAAAGTTCTATATCGTTCGAATTTGACTCTAATTTTAAATGTTTCATATAATCTACATGGACTCAACATTATGGTCTTAATACATAATTTATAATATTACAGGCATTTTTAAGAGCCAGGCTATTGGTGGTTTTTTTCTATGTATAAATAATGGGTTATATTTAAATGTATTTCAGGTGTGCAACCACATTGAGTACAAACCACATAAATCATCAGGAATAATATGACTGGATAAAATGTGATGATTTAGCTTTGGGTTCCATCCACCTGCTTACATTACCAATGATTTCATAGGGTTTGTCCCTCATTAAAATACGAACTCAACATCCTCTTGCCATTGTATCTTCCTTTCTGTACCTACCTGTGCAACCATTATCTCACTTTCCTTTTGCCTACACCTACTTTGCCCTTTGGATGGCATCTAGAGACTGACAGACTCCTTTCTTCACACCTGCCTGTGGAAACCTCTTGACCACGGTTTCAACTCTTGTAGAACAGTCTTGTAGTGTCAGATTAGTATATATGACAATATGGACCTAGTAAATGATCTTACTTGATTAAATAATCAAGAAAGAAAAATGTATCAAGGATAAAGCTGATGGCTCAAATGTCTGTAAAATTAAATATGTCCAAAATAAATATAGTATCTGCTGTTCCTGATGGTGACCTGTTTCATGCCATCACTCTAAATGCCGACACACACACACACACACACACACACACACACACACACACACACACTTACTTCTTAACTCTTTTCTTATTATGAGACAGGATCTTGCTATGAATGCCAGGCTGATATCAAATATACAATCCTCCTGCCTCAGCTTAGGTGTAGTAGTTTGAAAGCTGGGTATGGTAATCTAAATGAAAATGGTCCCCAAAGGCTCACAGGGAATTAGGAGGTGTGGGTTTTTTTGTTTTGTTTTGAGTACACATAGCCTTTTTGGAGGAAGTGTGTCTCAGGGGGTGGACTTTGAGGTTTAGAAAGCCACACCCAGTGTCATTTTTCTCTATCTGCTGCCTACATATCAGGACATAGGACTCTTAGGCCTCCAGCCCCATGTCTGCCTACACACTAGCATGCTTCCCACAATGGTGACAACGGACTAGACCGCTGAACTGTAAGCCAGTCCCAATTAAATGTTATCTTTTAAGAGCTGCTGGGTCATGGTGTCTCTTCACAGCAACAGAAACCTAAGATACTGGGTTATAGTCATGTGACATCAGGTTGAGCTCAGCTGTATTTTAATTTGCAGCTCAATCTTATTTTACAACCTATTATGTTACTGTCAACTCTATTTGATTCTGCTTCTATGTCCTCAGCAGCTTCTTTCTGGCCATTCTCAGTGTCTGAATGTGTCACGCCACAGTTGGCACACACATGAATTCCTGAGACAATTTCACTGAATGGCCCATGCCCAACTTCAGGGTTCTGACACACCCCATGCCACTGATCACATGACTCACTTCCTAAACAGAATGGCAGTGCTTCACTGTAAACACTATATTCAAGATGCCAAATCTCCTTCTAACCAGATTTTCATTCCCCCTTTAAACTAGAGCTTGGTCTGTTCTTTTGTCTTCAAGAGTCTCATACTTAGTATTTTCAGGAGCAACTGAAGACCCATGTTGCTTGGGCCCAATTAAAATGGCACTTTTATCATGGAAAGTCCCTTCCAGCTTCTATAACACTTTTGCTTATATTTTACACTGACTTTCCATCATCTTACAATTTTTGTTTGCCTATATAGAATAATTAAGCATAATGCCTCACAGGAAGTCATCAGGAACTGTGATGAAAGAAAGGGCAAAGCTTCTCACTGACCTGGTCGTAGGTAGATATCAGAGGAGGAAGCAGCAGAGAGCCTTTCACGTTCTCGTTCACGTTCTCGTTCACGTTCTCGTTCCCTTTCCCTTTCCCTTTCACGTTCCCGCTCTCGCTCTCGCTCCCGCTCCCGCTCCCGCTCCTTCTCCCTTTCCCGCTCTCGATCCCTCTCAGCATTTGCAGCTGCTGCAAGGTGTGTTGGGTGTCCTGTAAAACACGAATCTGCAAGTTAAAGACAAAATTGTCAGCCTATCATGTTAAACCTGTAAATGACTGAAAAGAGTCAACAGGCTAAAAATACAGATGATGAAGTTTATTTTAAGAGTCTCAGATAACAAATGGAGCATTGTATAAATAAGCATTTAGGGTATCTGTGGAGTATCTAGGTACAGGTATTATGTTAAATGAAAAGAAGGATGGAAGAACAATGCTCAGAATTCCTCTGTAAGCTACACCAGAAAAACTAGTGTCTTGGTCTTATTAGAGATGTATAAATTTTAAGCAATTTTGTTTGAGAAATAGAGGGCATTATTTTAAACATGTATATGCTCTCCCTAGCAAAATCATTGTCTTATTTTCTGGAACCCTTGCTCCCTTTTCATCTAGAACAAGCCAGATATGTTAGCTTGGAGCATCTCACCTGGAGACAAAGAAGCAGCGTTGTATGGTCTGGGAGGGAAAGTAATCTGTGTACCAGGGATGTAAGTGATTCTGTCCATGGGAGGAGTGCTTGCTCCCCCAGCATGAGGCACTAAAATTGTTGGCGGCATATTGGTCAGGTCAATGATTCCTATCCAAAAGACAAACACACTTTATGTTAGGCATTACCGCAAACTGACACCTAACTCCAGAAGCATACATGGTTTTTCCATTTTTTCTTTTTACAATACAATGATAATTTGCATTGGATATAAATAAGCATGCATTAAAAATTACCATTGCTTCTTAAGACCTCTTTAAACCTAAAGGAGGATATGAAAGCACTGAGCTCTACACAAGAAACTTCAGATATGGATTATTAAAGAAAACATGAACTTTAAACACTTCCACAATTATACGGCTTATTTACTTTAATGTTCACTGTCACAACTCATCTCAATGTATTACTTCCTTTGCTTTCAAGTGCAAAAGTCTATAGAGACAAGTATAAGCTTCTTTTATGTTTCCATTTAACAAGGATGTATTAATTACTAGCAAATGTGAAAAAATGCTACACACCTCTTGTAGCTGGATAAGGGAGACCCAATGGCTGCTCTCGTGGGGACAGTCCCCTGGCAACATCAGGGCGCAAATTCACTTGCATCTGCTGTGAGGTAATGTAATCATTTAGGATTGTCTGTCTTGTATTCTCCATTGCATAAAGCTGGTACTGACTCGGGTATCCTGGGGTTGGTGAAAGCTGTCTCTGAAACAGGTAAGCAGCAGCTGCTGAGTGAAAGAAAGAAAGAAAAAAAAAATTGCAGAGTTATGAGATTAATCTGCTAAGTGTTGTCCCCAGAAACAGTGAGGAAACGCTGCCTACTGAGGTAGTGCAATAGCTACTTTCACTGAACTCCAGGGAGTACAGAGATTCATTTCAGACCTTAATACATGAGCTATATGAGTCTAACTCCTTCCATTGTTTGCTTGCTTTTGTTTGAGACAGGGTTTCACTATGTAGCTCTGGCTGTCCTGGATATTGTTCTGTACAGACCAGGCTGGCCTTGAACTCAGAGATCCCCCTGCCTCTGCCTCCAGAGTGCTGGGATTAAAGGTGTGTGCCACCATGACCTGTAAACCTAACTCATTCTAATGCCTGAGATGTAACAGAAAAGGGGAGGACGGGTTTTGAACATTTCTGAAGTAGTTTTGTTCTCAGTCACTGTCATAAAACTTACTATGTTTTCACTGATTATAGGAGAGCTAGAGTTGAAAAATTAAAGTCCTTTTTGACAACACAACAGTGGGAGTGCATATAAAACAATTTCTAACATAGAAATATTATTTTTCTAGAGGTAAAAATAATTGTATACAACATCCAGTAATGCATGGATTTTGGGGAAAAAAAAAAAAAAGCAAACCTTTTCTATAAAGGGGGGCCAGATGAGAATTGTTTTAGATTTTAAGAGCTATACAGTATTTCTCACAGCTACTTTTATTATGCTGTGGAAGAAGCTATGAACAAAACAAACAAATGGCTAGGGCCATGTTCTAAAAAAACATTATCTACAGGAACAGGATTTGGTATTAGTCCCTGAATAAAAGCATGACACAAGATGCAATGAAGTATGATTTAAAAAAAAAAAAAGTAGGAGATAATGTCTCTTCTCAAAATCATTTAAAATCTAGCTCAGACCACTAAAAAAAAGGACAATAAGATGAAAGTACTAAACCGGGCGTTGGTGGCGCACGCCTTTAATCCCAGCACTCGGGAGGCCGGATCTCTGTGAGTTCGAGGCCAGCCTGGTCTACAGAGCGAGTGCCAGGATAGGCTCCAAAAAGCTACACAGAGAAACCCTGTCTCAAAAAACCAAAAAAGAAAAAGAAAAAGGAAAAAAAAAAAAAAAAAGATGAAAGTACTATTAAATAAAGGTCTATGACAGACACTGAACAATTATACAAAGTTGTGTCTGAAAGTTAAGGGAACCATTCATATGTACATTTTCCCCTGAAGATAGCAAACACCACTGATATGTTTTCTAGACCATTTATGTAACTTTTCGTCCAGAACTCCAAGTCAATTGGGTGTGACTACTGAGACACATTTCCTCTGGGAGACATTCTCCTGAGCACAGGTGATCTACAAATCACAATGGGTTGTATCCCACGGAGTATGTAACAGTGCAAGTGTCAGAAACTGGGATCGCATTGAATAATATATTAATCCACGACCTACGCTTCGTGGTGCTGCACACTGTACCCATCAATTACTTCTACTCATAAGTGAGGGTTGTGGCTCTAGTAAAGTGTCTGCTGGCTACCTTTTGCTTTCACACCATTGCTCAGTCAAAAGTTTAAGTGTAATGAACCATTTTTATGTTGACCTGTAATCTCTGTATCAGGTTTAGGGTCAAGTAACAATTTGGCAATAGCAGAGCTTTCAAATAAAATATTCCCATAAGTTCTTAGCTATCTAAAATAAGAGTAACTCAGGCTTTTACATGAAAAATTTTTGTTTACTTTGTATGTATTGAGGTTTATGTGCAGGTATGAATATTTCCTACAAAGTGGGCTTGGGGGGTCGGAGGACAACCTATGGGAGTTTATTTTCCCCTTTCACCTTAGAATCCATTTTACTAACCTGGCTTTTCTGGCTTTTAATGTGGTAACCTGGTAAAAACTACTGTAAGAACCAGGATATAGCTCAAGAACAGGCTACCCCTGAACTCAAGAAATCCACCTACCTCTGCCTCCCAAGTGCTGGGACTAAAAATGTGCAACATGATACCCAACTTTCTAGAAGGGTTTTGTCACTTAATTGTCTTTACACTATAGCTTCATTAAAAAACAAAACACAAAGCTAACATGCCTAGGGGATTTCTTTCATAACAGAGAGGCAATGGTAAGATTTAGTCACCATTTAGTTTAAGAGAAGGCACTGACCTTCAATAGGAAAACTATGATGTAATCAGCATACAGTCATATAGATACAGTGTTTCTTTGCTGTAAATTGTCATTAAATATTGAGCTTACCAGGATCCAAAGCCCTGTGGAAGGGCATGGCTGGATCCAAGTGCGTGGGAAGGTGGCTCCGATAAACCTCTCCTGCAGCGCTGCTCCTATGATGGGGATCAAATGGGCTGTGACTCAGGACAGGATCCACCCCGGGCACTGGAGACTTGGCTGGTACACTTTCTCTTTGGGTTGGGGTCAGAGTCGATTTCCTTTCATGACTGGTCGACTTGCTGGAAGAAACTGTAACAGCAATAACAAAGTGCCAATGGCACAAATCCCTGAGAAAACTTCAACGTGTGCCCCTATACATAAAGTCCTATCTTGTAATATGTGCAAGTTTAAGAACTAGTAGGAGCCTAGAAACGTGGAGACCACTGTGACCGTTTGGATCACAGCAGCAGTTCTAACCCACCTCTTATTAAGAACATGAGGTCATGAGGGTCAATAATCTTCTCTAAGTTCCACTGTAAATGACTGTGTTTCCTACATGGCATTAACACCTACATTCTAAAACAAAACGCATCGATTGTGGCCCCACATGTAGCAAATCTCAAATTCTTCCCTCCGTGTGTTTCCTAAACAACTTGCTACCTGTCAACCATAAGTTAGCCTATTTTGCTCCCTTCAGTCTGCTCTTCAATGATTCTTTACATAATAAACACCCATTTGACTCCCCTCCCCACACTCAGACATACTTGGTACTCTGATTGGACTGGTTCCTACACACCTAACATATCCATACAGCTTACACCAATCTCCTTGTGGAGAATTCTGTGTATCGTAAAGTAAACCACATTAGTCATGTTACCTAATTTCTCTTTAAAAAATTCTTTTCCTTTAAAAAAAAAAAATCATGTGTTGGTATTTGCCCTGCAGTATATCTATGCACCGCACCACATGTACACAGTGTCCTTAGAGGTCAGAAGAGAGTGTCAGATCCCCCAGGACTGGAGAGTTACAGGTGGTGGTTAGGTGCCTTGTGGGTGCTGGGAAGTGAACCTGGATCCTCTGCAAGAGTAACAAGTGTTCTTAATAGCAGAACCTTCTTTTCAGCCCTATTCTTTTATTTCTGCAGTGCTGCAGATTAAACCCCACATACTTTATACATTTTGAAGGGAGTAATTCACTGATATTAAATATACACATGATATTTATTATACAAGTATCATTAGTGCTTCTGTTGTATCTTTTTTTCAAATAGTGGCTCACTTGGTAGCTCTCAAAACTTGGTTCTGCCTTATCCTTGCCTCCCAAATGCTGAGAATATAGGTGTGGATCACCACACCCAGCTACTGATAGTACAAATGTGGCTATAACCAAACAAATCTCCCTATCAAAATAAAATCTTGCTGGTTTATCCTGCCTGATTCCAAGTCCTTTTCCCTCTTGAAGACCACCCCTCCTCTGGCTTCTGTGCCACTAAGCATTCCTGATCTTCACCATCCAGCCCAAGACCTAACACAGCGGTTCTCTTCCTAATGCTGTGACCCTTTAATACAGTTCTTAACATTGTGGTGACTCCCAACCATAAGATTATTTCACTGCTACTTCATAAGTGTAATTCTGCTACTGTTATGAATCATAATGAAAATATCTGTTATGTAGGATTATTTGATATGTGACCTAAATGGGGTCACAACCCACAGATTGAGAACAACTGGCCTAACAGGTAAGATCTCAAAATATACACATTGAGCTCTAGAGAACACATTTCCACCTCCCCAGTGCTGGAATTAATGGCAGACATCACTATGCCCAGCCCCCCACATCTCAATTTGTCAGTGTAAACATTTTATTGACTGAATTTTGCTGATTGGGTTACTGCCCTAGTCTTACACCCTGTGGATCTTGAGATCTAGATCTAATGATTTGGTGTTTTCTATTTGTTAGAGGTAAAAAAAATGTTGCAACAAAAGCCATACCATCAGAAGTTCTGTTCATCATGGGTGAGCCTCTGGATATGGTGTTTTGGTAACTCACAGGGGTCCTTCGAGCACTGGTGTCATCATAGATTCCGGGGCTCAGCTGTGCTTTGGGAGCTTCATGCAGTGTAGACCTGAGAACGGAGGGGCCAGAGCTCACAACTGACGTGTGCCGGGGACGCACTGGCTCGCCGGCTTTCACATCCTCGTATTTTCCCCGTTCTACTACTTTTATGCTCTCTGGTACAATTTCCAGCATTCCACGGGGTAGTTTGCTAGGCCCTGTGATTAAGGACTTCACATTGTGTTTGATAGCTGATTGACCTGAGTTGTTGTCAAATTTGATTGGTGTGCCCTAAAGGGAATGAAACAAACATTACAGGTAGCAGAGTTCTAGATACCGTCCCTGGCTCATTGCAATTATACACACTTCCAAATTATTCATTTTAAACTACATATAAAAGAAAAACTGATATATATGTGAAAGATTTACTACTAAGAAGTCTGATGTAAGAACTACCTAGAACAACTGTCATAGTTTTATAATTGCTTCACAAATGTCAGTCTTAAGTGGGATTGCTGACAGAGCCATGATCCACTTACCTGGGAAATGGAACCCTCAATTATTGGCCTTGTGCTCTGGACCACTTCTGGAGTTTTTCGGCTTTCCTGAGTTAGAATATCTTGTCGTGGGATCTCATGAATGGAACGTCCCATTTCTTTGATAGTGGTGATACCATCATATGGTTTTCCTTTGGTAATGGCGCCTTCAAATGCTCGGATAGGAGGACTTTCCCTTTTAATCTGTTTGGGATATTTAAGGCCATCTTCAAAGCTATCAGTTGTTGCTCTTGGTGTGCCTTTAGGAAGAAATCAGGAAACATACTTGTTAAAAAAAACGCTAATGGTTGTAGAGTCCTACCACTGAATTTCTAACATAGACCTTCAAGTAGGCATTCATCACTCATTATGTTTTAGGATTACTCAAAATATATATATATAAGAGTGTATCATTCGTGCCAGTTTCACAATGGCTCTTATAAAGATGTCTTAGTATAAAAGATCCAACAACTAAAACATTCTGTTAAATGTTATAGCTAAGAGAAAAGTTAAGATTAAGGCTTAATATTTAATACTTCAAAGGGTAAGATATCTTGAAAAGTAGGTTTAATATTCTGTAAAATTAATATTAAACTACCTTGCCAGTGAATCAGTTTATAATAAAAAGGTAAAACACAATGTACCCTGCATTATGGAACCAGATAGCACAGTCCTTTCTTTGAGTTCAGAATGAGGGCTCCCTCTAGGTAATGCCCGACATATCAGACCTTGAAAAACAGTAAAGAAATCCAGTTATTAGATATGATATCGTTAATTCACGATACTGAATATTGTCTATAGGAAATATAATTTTGATAAAAAGCACTGTGAAGGAAGGGATGTCATTTCAAAATTGTACACAATTCAGAAACTATCACAAAGGACTGGTGAGATGACTCAGCATGTAAGGGTACTGGCAGCCAAGCCAGATAATTTAAGTTTACTCCTCAAGCTCCATTTGGTGGAAAGAGAGAACTAATTCCTGCAAATTGTCTTCTGATCTCCACATGAGCACACCACATACCTGCATGTGTGTACAAGACATGCACAACAAACAACAAAAGATTTAAATTTACATAATAAGCACTAATAAAAGATGAAAGTCACCAAAATAAAAATGAAACTTAGCTGGGCATGGTGGAATACATCTTTAATCCCAGCACTCAGAAGACAAAGGTAGGCTGTGATGTCAGAGTTCAAGACCAGCTAGGGCTAGAGTGAGAACCTGTCTTGTTTGTTGTTTTATCCCATCACCTCCCAACACCTTTCCCCCCTTTCTTTTTCATTTCTTACATGAAGATCCCCAGCAGAAAGTAAAACCCCATGAAGTCCTCTTTTTAAAATAATCAACAATAAATCCAGAACACCTGGGCATTTTCAGAAGCCTTGCTAATCAGAGGAAGAACTATAACCGGAAGTCAATTTGGACAGCATAATCAAAACTTTAAAATATATCTTATAAATGTCGATACATTTTAGGTTTTAAATATAGCATAGATAACATTTACTGAGATCTAATTATAGAGTTTTTTTGTGTTTAAAATTGATTTTCTCCTTCTTATAGTCTCCTTTTCCTGTATGCTAGAATCTATTTCCTTCACTCCTACACAAATACACATATATAAAAATTTGGAAGAAATGTAGTATTTTGACATTTGATACATCTTCCTAAGATTGCATAATTGCAATTTACCCTGCAGCCAAATAAAATTCCAATGTGTTTGTGGACCACATTCATCTTATGATGGACATCTAGGCTGATTCCATTTCTTTGCTATTATGAAAAGAGCAGCAATACACATGGGTGAGGAAGTATCTCTGTAGTAGTCTAGAAAGCCCTTTGGGTGAATGCCCAAACAGGATGGCACTGGCTCAAAAACAGACATGAAGATAGATGAATCCGAAGGCCGAGACAAAAACCCATATGGCTGTAGTCATCTGGTTTCTGACCAAGTTGACAAAAATACTCAATCAGGAAAGAAAGCTGCTTAAACAAATGGTGCCAGGAAGCTGGATAACCATATGAAGAAACCACTAATCTGGAACAAACATCAACTCCAAACAGATCAAGACCTAAATATAAGGCCTGAAACTGTGAAAATGCTAGAAGAAAATAATTCAAGATAAAGTCAGAGTAAAGGACTTTGTGAATAGGACTTGAGTTACTAAGAGGAAACAGCCAATTATTAACAAACAGGATCTGACAGAATTAAAATCTATACCACAAAAGACAACTGGTAATCATTCCAAGTGAAGAGGTAGCCCACAGAATAAAGAAAAGCTTTGCTAACTATAAATACAAGAAGAGTACCATTTAGAATATACAAAGAACTAAAAACCCTAAATTCAATAATAAGAAAATAGGCTGAGAGCTTACTGAGAGGTCTCAAAGGAGAAAATATGGACAATAAATGTGTGTGTCAAACACAGAGAGAGAGAGAGAGAGAGAGAGAGAGAGAGAGAGAGAGAAGACCTCACACTATAGATCAAGGAGGCCTTGAAATCACCTGCCTCTGCCTCCTGGGATTAAAGGTGTGAGCCACCAACCCCCAGCAGCCAATAAATATTTTAAGTGTACAACATCCTTTAGCCATCAGGGAAATGCAAATTAAAGCTATTTTGATATTCTATCTCATCCCTGCCAGAATGAATTTCATAAAGAAAACAATTACAACAAATGCTGGGGAGAATGTATGAAAACAGAACTCTTATTCAGTGGTGGTAGGGGTATGAACTAGTGCTGACATTACAGAAACCACTATTCAAGTTTCTTAATCAGCAGTAGACAAAACATTCATGACCCCACTCTACAACTCCTAGGAATCTAAACTCTAAGTGCATCTTAGTTGAAAATCACTGCTCAACTTTGAAATATATCTGGGGAGAATGGAAAATGAGAAATACGACACTGTAAAAATTACAGAAAATAAATGAAATATACATACCCAAATAAGGAGTTAAAAAATGATATGCTTGCTGGGTGTTGGTGGCGCAAGCCTTTAATCCCAGCACTCAGGAGGCAGAGGCAGGCGGATCTCTGAATTCAAGGCCAGGCCAGACTGGTCTCCAGAGCGAGTGCCAGGATAGGCTCCAAAGGTATATAGAGAAACCCTGTCTCGAAAAACCAAAAAAAAGTCCAAGGAAGTTTCACTGAAGGGGCTGGGAAGATGGCTTAGTGGGTAAAGTGCCTGCTGTTTAAGCCTGACAGACATGGAAAGAGTCTGTAAACCCAAAGGTGGATGGGCGGAAATCAAGGACTCAATGACTAGCCAGTCTGGCTAAAATCCTAACCTTGGGTTCACTGTGTGATGGTGGAAAATAGAAAATAATGAATGCTGGTTTGGGGGGGGGGGGCATTGAGCCATCTCTCTAGCTACAAATGATGTTCTGTTTCATTTTTTAAATAGAGAAAATATACTGTGAGAAAACTATACAGGACATACTTGTCTTGAATATTTCACCTAGATTAAATCACAAGCGGTTGGTTGTGGTTTGAATATATATAGCCCCCACAGACTCATGTATCTGAATACTTGGCCCATAGGGAGTGCCACTATTTGGAGGTGTGGCCTTGCTGAAGTAGGTGTGGACTTGGAGGAAGTCTGTCACCATGGGGGCAGGATTTCAGGTCTCATACATGTTCAAGCTATGCCCAATACAATCTCTCCTGCTGCTACCTGTGGATCAAGATGTAGAACACAGCACCGTTTCCAGCACCATGTCTGCATGCATGCTGCCATGGTGATAATGGACTAAATCTCTGAACGGTAAGCCAGCCACAATTAAATATTTTCTATTTTAAGAGTTGCTGTGGTCATGGCTTCTCTTCACAAAATTGAAACCATAAATAAGCCATAGTGATCCAAAATTGAATTCATAACAGAATCAGCACCAACATGGACAGTTGTTTATAATCTGCCTTCAATGATGGATGGAGATTAAGTGTGTGTGTGTGTGTGTGTGTGTGTGTGTGTGTGTGTGTGCTTCCAGTTGAAGAGACAAGCACAGAGAAATGCTCCAGGAAAACTTCAGCCAAAGATAAAATATATGTTCCTACTCTAACCATCATATATCACTTTACCTCAAATATTAGAAAGGAATTCTCAAACAGGTTTTCTATTCTTAAATTCACTGAGTTGGGAGATGACTCTACCATAGTTAAAGCATCCCAATTGTGACCTCTGCTGTGATCATTACATTCAGTTCTTACTTCCTCTACTCTGAAGTGCCACATGATTCATGCAATGATGGGATGTAAATCTGAAGTTATATTAATAAATTACAAGTAGAAGTGCCAGAGATTAAATCCAATATAGTAATGAGAAACTATTAGACGAAATTAAATGCATCTGGATAACACTCAAGGTACACTTTACCCTCTAATGGTGCTGATACAGGAGACTCCCTCATTGACATCCCTTGCTTTATATTTCCTTCCACTGACTCATAACTTCTTTTTAAACTGACTTCATGAGCTGTTCTTGGACTGCGAGTCCCTTCTCGGGCATTTTTAATATCTGCAGAATATAGAAACAAGAATTATTCAGAGCCCAAGGCCTATCCATAATGCACAGTAAATTAAGTCACCTTAATATAAGTCTTATAAAAACAACTTGATCCCAGGACTTAGGAAGCCAAGGCAGATGGATCATTATGAGTTTGTGGCTAGCCTGATCTACATGGTGAGTTCCAGGTCAGCCAGGGAGGCACAGTCAGACTCCTCACCTAACAAAAAAACTCAAACAAAAACTTGTTCTAACATATATTTGTGTAGACAACATCCATGAAAACATTTTTATTCATTGAAGTATGTTAATTGAATGGTTCCTATGTGCCAGGCTAAGGCTAGGAATCTGGGTAAGGTTAACAAGTTAAATCCCTTTTCTCATGAAACTTTTTCAACAGTGGTGAGTACAAAAATATGCCCAGGCTGGAAATGTGGGTCAGCAATTAAGGGTACTCACTGTTCTTCCACAGGATCTGAATTTGGTCCCCAGCACCTACATCATGGGCTCACAACTACTCCAGCTACATGGGATCTGATACCCTGCTCTGGCTTCTGCAGGAACCCACATGACTGTGCAAATACAGGGACATAAATAAAAAATAAATCCTAACAGAATTATTAAGTCCTTACTGTCCAATGCAATACATACTATAAAAGGAAAACTACAATATGCTGCAAGAATGATGGGACAGAAATTCTGACATGTCCAGGTTCAGGAATGGCTGCCTAGAAAAAGCAATGCATAAGCTGAGAAATAAAGGACAAGTAAGAGACACTATTGTCAAATATAAAAGGAAGAAACAATGGCACAGAAGGAATAGGCTCAGATATCTCAAGAATGAAGAGCATGCTACCTTAAAGGAACATCCTTCAGCTCAGTACAAAGTCAATGTGGAGGAAGGAATTAGGCAGAAAAGTTTAGACAGCTAAGGTAAAAACTGGCAATCAAAAAATCTGAAGCAGAAGGAGATTATGGAGAGAGATAAAGCCATGGGATGCACTTGTAGTCATCCACAGAAAGTAAAGCAGGAAGCATGACTACTCCAGGTAAGTTAGCACATCCTAAGCTGTACAGACAAAAGGTAATGGTTGCAGGGAAGAACAGTAAGGGATTGATCCCAGAGACTTTAGGAACAATATAAATGATTTTGTTATTTGTTGGACATGGAAATGGAAAAGAAAGATATCCATATTTCTAGCTTAAGCAATGGACATTAATTTCGTTCCCTCTTCCCAAAGTAAAATGTTCATCAAAATACACTAGAGGTGTTAAAATAAGAAATGGGGCTGTTGTGAATTATGAAACATCAGGCACTATGTTCACTTCTTTATATCCGACACAAAATATGGCCAATGACTATTTCAAGGTTACAAAGTAAGAAAATCAAACTCAGCCCTGTGGCTAGTATTTACAGCAGATTTTAGAGTCATTCTTGGAAAACATATGCAAAGAAAGATCTAGAGAAAAGACAGATGACTGGAGGTGACAGGTAAATGAACAGACACATATACAGTTTCATTAAGCAGGATTTAATCCAGCATTCTTTACATGATTATCAGATATCTATTCCTTAGTTCTTTTTTAATATTTTATTTTTGACTTTCCAAGACATGGTTTCACTGTGTAGCCCTGGCTATCCTGGAACTCACTCTGTAGACCAGAACTCAGAGATCTACCTCTGCCCCTTGAGTGGTGGGATTAACAGCACGGAACAACACTGCCTGGCAGTTCTTAACCTTGAAAAAAAAAAAAAAACAAAAAAACAAAAAGCCGACCCCTATTAAAATAGAAGCTATTCCATTTAAGTTCAATGAAGATTCTTTTTCTAAGTTACAGAATGAGTGGTCACTGACAATGTTAGCTGTCACTTACAGGACACTTCCTCTGTGCTCTGCTCTGCTACAACTCTTCTAACTGATTGTCTTAATTGACTTTTCACAAAATAGCCCCATTCACAAGGACAAAACCATAGGTCTGCCAAGGTCAACTGACTTACTCATACATAGTAAGCAGGTAAGAAAACCACAGCCTGTTTTCAATCCCACATTATAAGACTGACATCAAAGAGTAAATAATACTTACTATCATACGATAAGATGTGTCCACTTTTGCCTTCATAAATAACATGGCCTTTGGATGCAGCTTCCTCTCTGACTTTCTCAGGGCTGCTTTCTTCAATGGGCATCCTGGAAACAGGTCCCTTCACCAAAGCTTCTGTCGGTATGCCTGCTTGGGGCAGAGCTGGGGTTCCCTGTCATCAAAAGCAAGCACAAGCACCCTGAGTCAGTGATGCTTAGAAGAATCACAAGATATTTGGAAAATATAACCTGAGAGCCCAGTACGTCTTCAAAGAAAGCAAAGCACACATGAGGAAACGAGACATTTCACTTCTATAAACATAGAGAATCCTGTACCTCAGTCCTTGAACCCTGTCATGGAGAACTTATAATGATGATAGTGTATGAGCTTTGTTCTCCACACCCTCTGGCCAAATATGGAAGGAGAGACATGGAGTTCCTATGTAATATTATAAATCAACATAAACTTTAACTAAATCACCTGGGATTTGTCTTAATATGATGACTCTGACTCATAATGCCCTGAGCAGAATCACCAGGAGGCTCAAGATAACATAGGTCATCAGGCCTCATTCCTAGAGGCTGGAATCCAGTGAACCTAGAGCAAGGCTTAAGAATTTAAGGCTAGCCAACTTCTCTGGTGATATTGGTGCTAATGGTCTTGGAACCCACACCATAGTACCAATACCTTAGGTAACAGAAATAATAAGAAAGAAAAGCAAGCTAGTACAATGTACAAAAATGTGTATCAATGTGTAAAAGCAGAATATGCAGATTTTTCAATTTTTTTCATCTATATACATTTTCAAACAAGGGCTGTTTTACATTTCAAGTTGTAATTAATATATAGCTAGGAAAAGAAACACCTCCCATTAATCAAAAGTGGGATTCTGACTAGCTTCAAAACAGAATATACTCCATCTCCAGGGTACCCTTTGTTCCACAGTGAATTTGAACATCACAGATTACATATTGAGATTACATATTTGCTTCCACAAGAAGCAAAAACAGGCATTTAATTGATTTCTTCTGGATTTCTATTTAATCTGAGCACATGGTAAAAGCATTGCCAGGCAAACATTAAGGACTAAAAACTTCTTCTTGTTACTATTACCAGTCTGCAGATGAGTGATGTTTTGAAAACCACAGCATAGATAATATGGCTGTGGTTTAAATGCAACAGGAATGTCTTTCTCTGGAGATGGTCTGCAGATCTGAGGTTTATTATCATTGAGAGCTGGATTCATAACCACAGAACAATGACCAACAATCTACAGAAGAGTCCTACAATACTGAGCTCTTGAGAGGTCGAGTCTTTTCTTGGTTGCTATTCAGTACCCAGGAGATGATGTTGAGTGCACTGACCTGTGTAATAGAACCCCGCAATGATGAAATGCTCTCCACTGAGATTTTGCTGGCTGGAGTTCCCCGAGTTATACTTCCTTCTTGGACAGCCCCTGCAGTGCCTGAATAAAAAGAAAACCAACAGTAAATCATTGCTTTCCTCTTGACAGCCCCACTCCAGCACCAGTTCTCACACAGCAGATTGTAGGAGAGAATAACAAAAACTGTTTTCATTGAATGTCTCAGTATCATAATGACTTTAAAAGTACTGTTCAAAGTGCATGATAAAATATCACATCCATAGATTTGTGCTGGTTACAACCTTAGTCAGAAAAGCTTTCTTATGTAGCTGGCAGAGGTGAATACAGAGAGACTTTGCTTGACAGTGAGTGCAAAGCCCTAAATGGGCTATCTGTATCATCCTTTTCCCACAAAGGCTCAGGGTACATTCTGGAAGAAAGGGTGGAAAGAATGTAAAGAGCCAGAGTACAGGGAGAAGTGCTGTGAAATGTTATTGCACGCATGACCTCACAACAGCTGTGGGTATGTGAACAAGACCTGGAAAAGATCAAGCCAGTCAAAATGCTAGCACAGATGAGGATTTTCTCATAAGGACCTACCCGAACTGAAGAGCTACTAGCAGCTGATGTTTGCTAAGGAAGGTTAGCCATTTTGCTTTAGGGGACCAGAGCCATATGTAGGTTGCCCATGCTCCAGTGCAAGGCACCACACACATCCATATACAGGCAACAATAATTATACTTTGGGTTATTTAAAAAAAAAAAAAAAAAAGCAGCAGCAGAGAACCTGAAATTGGGAGGGGTATGTTGGGGAGGGGGTTGTTGTTGAGAATATGATCAAAATACATTATGTGCACATATGAAGTAACAGAATAAATATATTATTACAACATGACTGCTGGCATAAGTAACTTCAGAAATTGGTGGGCTTTTTGGTTTTAGCTTTGATTTGTTTTGGTGATCCTATGCACCTATCAAATTTCAAGTTTTACAATTAATTTTACATGAAAGCATAAACTTAATATGAAAATCAGTGCCGGGCACTGGTGGCGCACACCTTTAAACCCAGCACTCGGGAGGCAGAGGCAGGCGGATCTCTGTGAGTTTGAGGCCAGCCTGATCTCCAGAGAGAGTGCCGGGATAGTCTCCAAAGCTACACAGAAAAATGCTGTCTTGAAAAACGGAAGGAAGGAAGGAAGGAAGGAAGGAAGGAAGGAAGGAAGGCAGTAACTTGAAGACTCTTATTATTAAAATATATTAATGACTGAGCTGGTTGTATTCACCTATAAACCACTTTGGAGGCTAATGTAGGCAGATGGAGAATAAAAGTCAAAGACCACTATCATTGTTGCCACAACTTAGGACATCCCCAGAAAGAAGTCATTTTTTAATGACTAACTTTAGCAAGTTTACTAGGGATAAGAACTTAATACATCTGTCAAACTGCATACAGTTTTACCTCTGACCACACCTTCATGCTGTGCCCTGACCAATAAGCCCTCGGGTTGTGAGTTTTGGCTTCGTGGAGAAAATTCTTCCTGCTTGATGTAGGTCAAAGGAGCTGAGGACAAAAGCAAAAGAAATGTGAAAAGAACAACCAGTGAATGGTTGACCATGATCACAAACTGATGGGATAGGACTCTGGCCACTCACTGACCTGATTTGGTGGATTCCTGCTGCCGTGGCAATCCAAGAGAGATAGATCCCACTGAGGGCTTAGGGGCTTCTTGAGTATAAGCCTGATTATGAGAAGTCAAGTAAGTGCCAGGAGTCCCCTAAAAAATAAATAAATAAAATAGTCAAGATACAAAACAAAACATTGTCTTTTCTAAAAGTAAAGTCAATCTTCATATTCCTATATATTAAAAGCTGTATACTTGTCACTCAAATTTTTAAAAAGCAATTTTGAAAAAAGAAACATTTCATCATAGATTATTAAATTAAGGAAACTAAGGAAATAAGATACATCATCTGACAATCTCATATATTACATAGACTTACTATTAACAAATCACATAAAGCATTTACCACAATGTACTCAAAATGTAAACTATGAAAAATATTATATACCTCTTATAAATGCAAAGAGAACATTAATGAAAATGGCAAGAGTTAAGAAAAGCTTCAATACACCCCCGGGAACCTAAAGTTCCTACATGTATGCAAGGCTTTGCATACCTAAACAAAGCACTAAGGAGCTCTCACCTCTGGCTGAGGGTAGTCTAAAGGCATGACCCAATACACAGAGAGTCCCATAGCAAGGATTGAGAAAGACTACTGATATTAGGCCATTTAAGGAAATCTCTGTACAATCATTAGTTTGTCAAGCAGAGACTTTAGTGGCCGTACATAAAATAACACAGACTTTACAAATTAGTTCTTAAAAGCCACTAAACAAATAAAAGCAGAAAAAAAGAAGCTACAACAGCTCTGGGAGATAGCTGTATGATAGATAACCAGAGTTGCCACATCATATAACAGAAAATATGCAGTTCTGGTGGCTGGCAAGATGACTCAGTGAGTAAAGATGCTTTCCATCAAGCTAAAAACCCAACATGGTACCAGGAACGAAATCTATTCCCACACATTGTCTTCTGATCTCCACATTGGAAATAAATGAATGTAAGAAAAATTAAATGTATATTTGACAAAAAGTTACAAGACATACAAAAAAGTGAGCCATATAGATGAAATAAAACAGTAGGCTTTTAAATTACTAGACAAAGATTAGACAGAGGATTAAAGGGGAGTACAGGAACAATGTCTACAAATACAACACAGAGAAAAAAAGCATTAAAAGAACAAAACAGAAATCCTAGAATTCACAGGCATAACTATGGAGATATACCTGACCATATATCACTACATTTGCTTCTCCCTCCCCTATCACTTGGGAGGAGAAGCAAGATTTGAGACCAGCTTAGACCACAGAGTGTCATGCTTGTTTAAGCTAGATAACGAAACTCTGTGTAAAATCAAAGAGAAACAAAATGAAACAAATAAAATGACACTAAGAATAGAAAGAAATATATTTACTCCCCTGAAAAGGACCTAGGAGATGGACAGCAGTGGTGGCACACACCTTTAATCCCAGCACTTGGGAGGCAGAGGCATGTATATCTCTGTGAGTTCAAGGCCAGCCTGGTTTACAGAGCTAGTACCAGGACAGACAGGGCTACACAGAGAAACCCTGTCTAGGGGAAAAAAACAAAAACAAAATTGACCTAGGAGACACGTTAAAATACTGAATGCTTTACTCCTCAGATTAATAACAAGGGCCACCCATCCACACTATTTCTATTAATACTGCGCTTTTCTCTAGACAATCTAATGAAACAAGAAAAGGGAAAAATGATAAAATTAGAAATGAACTAAACCACCTTTCTCACCCTGGTGTGGTGACAAACATGTAGCCCATTATCCCATGACATGACAGGTGGAGTTAAGAGGGACAGTTCAAGGCCAGCTTCTGGTACAGAGTTTAAGTCAGAAAAGGATTCAACTCTCTTTCTCTGGAATCAAGGTGGATAATGATAATTCAGCAACAGGGATTGGGGGCTCTGTTTCCATGGGTTCACTGGGCAATCCTAGTGGTCCTCTATTGCCTCTTTAAAGGCCAGCATGAATTACACTAAATCCTGTCACAAAACAAACAAGCCCCCCACCAAAGACAGGCATACATAGAAATTATTTCTTCAAATCTACCAAAAAAATTTCCTTATGAGAAGTACTTTGAGAGGTCACCAGGAAAAGTCAAGACAAGGATATAATTTCTATATAGCAATACTACTAGGCTGCTTCACTTTCTGTGTTTCCCTGACACTGTTCAGGTTTAGCAAACTGAATCTTTGTATTTGAAGTATGTCAGACTGTTGGTACTATTACTGCAACACTGTACAAGACTGTTAGCATTTCTTAAAGCAATGAAGAAGTATCTATTTTCTTTTGATTTATTTAAATACAGTCTCCCTATGAAGGTCAGTCTAGCCTCAAACCTGTGATTCTATTGCCTCAGGCTCCAGCATGCTGGGGATTAAAGGTGTATGCAACTATATCTAGTTCTAAATTTGTTTTGTTTTCTGAGAGAGGATTTCTTTGTGTATCCCTGACTGTCCTGGAACTTGCTCTATAGCCCAGGCTGGCCTAGAACTCACAAAAGATCCACCTGGCTCTGCCTCCAAGTGCTGGGATTAAAGGCATGTACTACCACTGGCCAGCTGTAAATTATTTTTTAATTAAGATGTGTGTGTGTGTGTGTGTGTGTGTGTGTGTGTGTGTGTATGTGCGCGCGTGCGCGTGCATGCGCGCGTGCGTGTGTATTCTTTTAGATATAATATTGTTGCATACTTAACTGACTATAGTATAACATAAACAGAGTCTTATATATACTAGAAAACCAAAAGCTTTTTATGACCTTGTTCATTGAAACATTTGCTTTCTGGGATGGTTTGGAACCAAGATTATGATATCTTCACTCAAGCCTGTACTAGCCAAGAACTTATAAAAACAAAGAATACATTGAAATTGCCTGGCATATGCTGCACACCTTTAATCCCAGAACCTGGGAGGCAGAGGCAAGTGGATCACTTTGAGTTCAAGGCCAGCCTGGTTTGCACAGTTAAGCTTCCAGGCCAGCAAAGGATACATAGTAAGACCCTGTCTCAAAAAGCCAAAACACAAAGAATACATTAACATTAATGAAATAGCCCAAAATAAACAGAATATGTACATCACTTCTAAAATGGAAACGACAAAACACTTTAAACAGGAATTAGCAAATAAAACCTAGAAAATGTAAAGATGTGTTTATTCATAGATTAGAAAATTCAAGATTATTAAAATATCTATTCCTATCTGAAACTGATTTGTAGGTTTTAATATAATCTCAAACTAAACTCTAGTTGGCTTTTACAAAAGTGAAAAAAAATTATATAACTTATATGAACAAGATTAAGGATATAGAGTGGCCAGAAAAATAATACACTACAGGATATACACTAAATGATTATACATTATAACATGACAACCATCAAGACTATAATAACAAAAAAAGTAGACAAATAGATCCACAGAATGACTCCGGGTGCAGATACAGATCCAACAAAAGACAACCAGAACAATCAAAAGAGAGAGAGAAAACTTTGTCAGCCACGCTGCCAGAAGTGGAAACCAAACAAGAGGAGAATGCTGACTTCTACCAGTCTCTGATCATAAGCACCAAAGTAAAAGCCAAATCTATAAAGCTTACAAAATGTAACAAATCAAAGTATGAAGAATGTGCTCAATGTGCAATGATTATATGAAAATGTTCTGTGCAACAATGCCATATACAATGAATATACTAAATGAAAATACAAATGTAATTGTATATACATATGTACATGTCTAGGGGAGCTGGGACTATGGGTCAGTCAGGAAGAAGGCATGGTGACACACATCTGTCATCCTAACATTTGGGAGGTGAAGGTTCAAGGTCACTCTTGACTATATACCTGGAACGCAAAAGGCCTTGTTTCAAAAAATAAATAAAACGGCCAGCAAGATAGCTCTGTAGGTCAAAGTGCTTACTACAAAGCCTACTAACAATGTGAGTTTGATATCCAAATGTATGTCACACAGAAACCAGCATGAAACTTCATTCTTAAGGAGTATAAAACAGCTCAGGTTTCCCTCCACAGAAGGGATTTAACAAAACGAAATGCTCATACAGTAGAGTATTTAACAATCAAAAAGCTACTGAGTACACACAAAGACTTGACTGAATCCCTAAAATCATTACTCGGAGATAAAAGGCAAACACAAAAGAGTGCACAGTGTATGATCCTGTTCATATGAGACCTAGGAAAGTGAAGATAAACACATGGTTACAGAAAGCAGGAAAGAAAGTCTAGGAAGGAACCTGATTACTTATTAGTATACTAATAAGTTAGTGAGAGGAGGTAAAGGAATAATTGAAGCAACATTCAACAGAAATCTACAAAGAAAAGCCAGTTTACCTGTGAGATGGACCCTCCCATTATAAAGGATGGTTTCTCTGATGCCGCTGTGGTTTTAGACGATGGGATGAGAGGAGGTGGTGGTCTGGTTGGTCGTGTTGTGGGAAGTCGAACCCCTTCAGGAAGGTTAGTTATCACTTGATGTGGAGCAGGTTGAAGAACTTTTTAAAGGGGGAAAAATCATTTCAAATGGTCAATTTCTTAGTGTGCATAGGCTACCTTTCTCAGTAAGTATTCCTGAGTCTCTAGACCACAAATTAAATTCTAAATGTCATATGAAGCTAACCATGAGTATTTTTACTTTTTAAAATTCTGACAATGAGTATATTCAAATCTCAAATATTTGTAAGGCAAATGTATTTGATTTATTTCAAACCACATCATTCAAAGCTGACTTCAGCAACTATTCTGATTAATAGAGGCAATCATTATGAGTGACTGAGTTTCTTTATCACCTTCTGAAACTTACAATAGAAATGAGGATCAGGAAGCATCCAAGAAATATCTGCTGCTTCACACAGTTGGAGACCTGGCTGACAACCCAGTATACATCCTCTGTGTAGCTGCATAATTTGAGAAATATCTATGGATTCTGGCTTTCACAGTACACTTGAATTTCGGGGAGGTGGGGGGTGGTACGGGGACTCTCAGGAATTTTTACAAAGTAGTTGTACTGTTAAAAGAAAAGCCAATCACAGTATAGGTGTGTCAACACAGATTTCCCAGTGGCCCAGTGAATCTGGATTCAACTGACAATGGAATGCAGAGAAACAAGAAAGTCATTCTAAGAGAGCAAAGACATGTCCTGGAAGAGCAGGTCACTCATGAGATTAAAACACCACGTGGAACACCTGTGGGTAGATGGCCGGCAGCCACTGTGCAGAAAGGTAATATTTACCTGGAGGGACACTATAGCGGGCTGCACTCAAATCAGGCTGTGAAGCGGCTTTACTGACTTCTCTTGGAGAGAGCCTACACGGTGAGGCTGACCTTGCTGCGGTACTGTGCATCTGTGCTTCCTGTTCTAGAGCACGTTTGACCTCAGCATAAGGCATATAGGCGACTGATTTTCCTATGAAAGTTAAAGTTATCAAAATAAGGGAAGAACCCCAAATTAAAATAGTAAGTGTGAAAGGACCAAGCCCACACCATCTAAGGGCAGATCCATCTATACACTAATAACAAAGTCTAAAGTTGCTGTGGACAAATCCACCCACAGTAAATCCTACTAAATCTAAATCTGCTGTTTTCCTCAGATTCGAAACCCTCAGAAATTCAATGACAATTTTTATCTTTAAAGAACAAAAGGTCTTAAGGAAAATCAAGTGCTTTGACATGCAATAAATTTACAATCAGACAAACATTGAATTATCAAGGGAATCTGTGAATTCAAGTCTGACCTGGATTACAGATCAGTTCTCTGAGAATTTCAATTAGCTTGTTGATATTAACTGCCTAATATTTAAAAAAGTAAACATGAGAAATGGAAAAAGTCTTTTCAAACAAATGCAGATAAAGCTTATCCAAAACCCTTCACCAGTTCCAAAAAACAAACCTATGAATATAACTGTAATGATGAAAATAATGAAAAAGTTATTTCCACGTTAAAAATTTTCCAAGTTTCAATGGCATGCCAACAACGCAGTCATATAACCATAAATAGGGGACTGAGAAGACACTACAATTGGTAAGTCAAGTCCTTACAGGGTATGAGGGTATGAGTTGGATCCCTAGGACCCATAGACAGGAGCCAGGAATGGTGGCAAGTATTGGAAATCCCAGCACTGGGAATGGGGATGGGGGCAGTGGAGTCAAGCTAATACCTGGGGCTTACTGGCCAGCCAGCTTAACATGGCAGATGAGGCCCAAACTGTAAGAAACAGTTTCAAAAAACCCAAGATACATAGTGCACAGGACTGATCCCCACGGTTGATCTCTGACCTCTACACACTTTGTATGTATACTGAAACACACATTTTAAAATAATATACAGATATAAAACTTTCTTCCTTTCTTTATTTGGGGAGAAGGGGTGTCACATAACCCAGGCAGGCCTGAAACCGAAGATCCACCTACCTTCCTCTCTTGAATACTCAAGATTACAGATATGTGACATCATTCCATCTAAATCTTTCCTTAATTAAACTTAAACTAATATACTGTGATTAACCTTTGAAAACCAGAAAAATACAACATAAAAATCAAATGTAACTCTTACCACTTAGAGATATGACATTTTAATGCCTGACAGAACAAATGCATTATTGTTCTTTTCATTTCCTAATTTTGTCCATTTGTCCTTTCAGCTTTTTTGTTGGAACTGATTATTTGAAACTGGCTTGTGGTATAAGCCTAGATGGCCTCAAACTCAAAATCTTCCTGCCATGGCCTCCCTCATGCTGGGATCACAGATCTATACCACCACATTCAGCTTGTTAAGATAAATTTAGATTTAAAATTAGTACTTTCTACCCAAAATGTCATTAGAATTTTCATTTGGATTACATTAAACTTATGAACAAATAAAGGACAGAAGAATTCTTTTAGTGTTGAATTAAAAATAATCTGTCATATTTATTAAAACTATTCCTAGGTCTTACATGTTCTTTTGCTATGAAAATCATCTCTCATCTATATGGATGCATATATGTAACTGAATACTTCACATATACAAAGAAGATAGGTTTTCTATAAAACAGCTTTTTCTAGGAAAACATTCCTTTAAGTTCAAATGATTCTCAGTTAATGTTTAGACTTTAAAAAAAATGTATGCACTACATAATTGTCGTGTATTTTTATTTATGATAAGTATGTGGGTACCAGTATGCACGTGTTACGAATGTGTGTGGAGGTCAGAGGACAGCTTTCGGGAGTCCTCACCTTCCACCTTGTTGAGACACGGACTCTCTTGTTTCTGCCATGGTGCATACCAGAGCCTAGCTGACCTGCAGGCTTCCAGATGATTCCAATCTTTACCTCCCATAGGACTGTGAGCAGGTTCTAGGAATCAAACTAAGGTCATAGGTTGGTAGCCCAGCTTGGAAGAGAGGTATTTTTTGCCTGGACCATCTCCCAGGCCTCTCTTACATTTTCTAGGATAATATTACCCTGCAAAATAACAATTTGTCTTCTTCTTTTAAATATCTAAACTTGTTTTTTCCTTACTATACTATGTCAACCGTGGGCCACCTTGTAGTTTCCACACAAGTGTCAAGGTCCACAACTGGTTTCAAATAAAGACTTTTTTCAAGACAGAAATTTTCTGTCTTGTGTAGCCCTGGTTGTCCTGGTACTCACTCTGAAGACCAGGCTGACCTCAAAATCACAAAGATCCACACATCTCTGCCTGAGTGCTGGAATTAAAGCTGTGTAGCACCATTGCCCAGTTCAAAAAAGATTTATTATCACAGGCACAGTCCTTTTACATGTTAAGGTACTTTTAGAAATCAGAAACAATGATTGTAAATCAACTAATATTCAAGTGTTACATACCATGCTTTCCATGAATCTGAAGGAAGACGTGGCAGTAATAAACTTATAAAGGATTTATCAATCAACTTGCTCAGAAAACAGTAAGTTGTACAAAAAATAAAGTTTAACAACAGAGCACTGCCTCTGCCAGGCAGTTTAGAGGTCAACCCTGGCTGGCAATGCTCACTCATCCTTGTACCTCTAATCAGGACAGCAAAATTCTGCCCCACAGGCAGCAGGACCCCAGTTAACAACTGCCTGGGAAAAGCAGGGCTGGTCTGTCTAGGACAACTATAACAATACTTTACACTGTAAATCTCCCCATCTGTCCAAACAATCACACCTTGGAATTCTGTCTCTGCAGAACAATGGATAACTGCTCAAAGTGTAACTTGGGACTGTGAGCCTATATTAGCTAAGGAGATATTTGTTCTGGGCTGGTTCCCTTATGTATTACCAGATCTAATCGAACACTACTATTCAGTTTTTCCTTTATTAAACTGTAAACATCTGGATTTCTCTCTGGGAAATACAATATAGTAAACTGTCTCATTTAACTCTCACAATCAAAGAGATCAATGGAATTTTTCAAATGAGGAAATTGGGGCTCCAAAGAGTCACACTTAACTGCCCGACCAAAGCAAACTAAGGGGGACTTTGAACTTCTGACGCCTATCCATCAAAACAATGACATTCATACTGGGCATGGTTTTGCATACCTATAACCCCAACACTTAGGAGGCTGAGGCAAAAGGATTGGCCAGTGTACGGACACAAAAAAAAATTTATTTCTCCTTTCCTAGAGAATTTGACATAATAGTATATTAAAAATTCGAAGTCTGACTGGTTTACCATTTTAAACAATTTATAACTATGTAGAAATATTCATTTAAAAAAATGATAGGCCGGGCAGTAGTGGTGCACATCTTTGATCCCAGCACTCAGGAGGCAAAGGCAGGTGGATCAATGTGAGTTCGAAATCAGACTGGGCTACAGAGAGAGTTCCAGGACAGCCTCCAAAGCCACAGAGAAACCCTGTCTCAAAAAAAAAAAAAAAAAAAAAAAAAGATATTTAGAGGATCCTAACCATATCAATTTCAATCAGAAAATACACAGAAGCAGAAAAACAAAACAAATAAAATAACAAAATAAACACAAAACAAAAATAGCTTTAGTTGTACAAAAGCAGAAACCTATTTTGATTGTATACTTTTTAAAACTTTTTTATTAACTTATTTTTTACATTCCAATCCCCATTCCCTCTCCCTCCTCTCCTGCTCCCTTGCTCCATTCCCTACTACCTCTCATCTACTCCTCAAACAGAGTAAGGTCTCCCCTAGGAAGTCTACTAAGTCTGTCCCATCAACTTCTTGAGGCATGTCCAAGGCAACTCCCCACCCCCACACCTCTGTGTCTAGGCTGAGCAAGGTATCTCTCTCCATATAGCATGGGCTCCACAAAGTCAGTTTGTACATTATAGGTAAATCTTGGACCCACTGCCAGTGGCCTCATATATTGTCCCAGCCACACCAATGTCACCTATATTAAGGGAGTCTAGTTTGGTCTTATGCAGGTTACCCATTTGTCAGACTGGAGTCACTGAGCTCTCACTAGCTTGGGTCAGCTTATTCTGTGGGCTTCCCTATCATGGTCTTGACTCCTTTGATTATAGATTTTATTAAATTTGCATTACAACTTCTAATTTGCCATGCCCAAGTTTCTTCACTGGAAGCTATCAGTGAAGCAGGGGTCAATCTAACTAAATGTCAGTTGAAAATAAGTCTTTAAAGTATTTTTTTAAACTTTTTTTTAAATAGGTAACAAAGCATAATGTAAAATGGGAGGCATGCCTACAATAACAGTTTGTAGCAATCTCATTTAAAAAGCAATCAATGAATATAATAAAATGGGGCACAACAGCAAAAGTAAAACATACAGTCCCAATCCAGGCAGAATTTCCTAGTACTTAACTGTTCTTTTAATGGTGTAGTGGTGTGGGTTTTGCTTATTTATTTTGGCACAAGGTCCCACTCTGTAGATCAAGCTGGCTTAGAACTCACTAAGTAATTCACAATAGCCTCAAACTCATGAAAAATCCTGCCTTAACCCTTGAAGTGCCAGAATTACAAACATGAGCTGTCATGATGAGCTGACGGTATTTATTTATAAACTGACACTACAGGTACTTTTTAATCTATAAACTAGCCTGTGAAGTTGTATTTAAAACATTTGCCATGTTTTCCACACAGATAACTTAACTGTGAACACTTAAATGATATATGAAGGAGTGGCTCGGACACTGACTGTACAGTACTTATGAACAACCTCAAAGGAGAGATATACAGCTTGTAGAAATAAAATACTGGAGGCATACATTAGGTGGGTTAGCAAAATAAAACCTTTATGTAGCCGGACATTGGTGACGCACGCCTTTAGTCCCAGCACTCGGGAGGCAGAGGCAGGGAGATCTCTGTCAGTTCGAGACCAGCCTGGTCTACAAGAGCTAGTTCCAGGACAGCCTCCAGAGCCACAGAGAAACCCCGTCTCGAACCCCCCACCCAAAAAAAACCTTTATGTAAAATAACTTCAAAAAATTGATCC